GGACGATTTTTAACAGATCTGATGTGAACGTGTGTTCTGGGTGTATCCTGATCCTGCCTTTATTTAAAATGATTTTTCAGGGGGCAGGGTACAGCTCAGTGGTAGAGTGTGTGCTAAGCATGCAGGAGGTCCTGGGATCAATTCCAAGTACCGCCATTAAAAATAAATAAATAAATAAAATTAATTTTGTTCATCATGAATTTTTGCATTAATTTTGATTAAAAGCATTGCATTAAAATATTTTTAATTTTGATTACTGAGTTTTTAGCCCTTCCTTAAATTTTATGCCAGAGGCTAACATGCCTTATGCTAAGTGCCACCCTGGTAAGTGAGTTTAGACATACGTGTTAATGGAATGAATGCTTGAATGCACAGTTACAACTTGTATATTCAGACAATATTACGTTTGTGATTTCGTTTCACTCATCTCAGTCTCTTCAATATGTTTGGGTCATGAAATGGAGTCTGGCAATATTTATTGCGGACTCGGTTTTAGGCTTGTAAATAATTGGCTGGGATGGGGAAACTCAATACGATTAATGTGCAGTTGCTGAACAGTTTCAATATACTCATTGTAATTTTGTAAAACTTTTGATTTAGGGGTTTTGGGTCCTTTAAGCATCTTGCGGTAAAACATGGAGTCGATGAATACAACCACCCTATCCAACGCTTCGAATAGAGACCCAGGCCACTGTGATGCGCACTGCCGGACAATTCTGATAACCGTCTATGGCGTGGTTTTGCTGGGAGGCACCGCTGGAGCTGTTACAATGTCATGTATGATGTTCAAAAGGAATAGCCAATCCGTGGTTGCCATGATAGTTCTCAACATCCTAGTGCTGCACTCGATCCTCCTGGTCAGCCTGCCCTTCCGCCTCAGCTATTACGTCTTAGTCGTCTGGGAGTTTGGAACCTTTACCTGCCGATTGGTTAGCAGCATAATATATGGTCATATGTACCTCACGTTTGTTTTCTATGTGGCCATCATCATACTCCGATTGCTCATCTATTTTAAAAAACTCCAAATGCAGCAGTTCCAAAAGCACCACGCGGTGGTTTTAAGCATTATTATTTGGATGGTGGGTAGCGTCATTTTTTTGCTCATTTTTTTTTTACAGTATGGCATCGACCCAAGTTACTCAGAACAGCAACGATGCTTTGAGTTCTACAAAGACCTCAATCGCAGGGAATTCATTACCTTGAACTACTCCATGATTGTCATTCTGATGACAACGGTTGTGACCCTCTTTCTGATACAGACGGGTGTCATCCTTCAGCTGGCAAAGGCTCTTTGGCCTGACCTGTGGGCCCACCAAGAGTACAGAGCTCAAATCAAGAGCTTCTTCTTCCTCCTAGTAATAGTTGTCTGTTTTGTACCCCACCATGCCTTCCGGGTACACTTCATTCAAAATTATTCACAGAGAGAAAAGTCTGAGTTAATTCTCTACAATGAAATTTTTGTTGCTTTAACTACTGTCTGTTGCCTGGATATGCTGTGTTTTGTAGGTGGAATTATCCATTAAATATTCCCATGCCACTTGCTTTGTGGTCAGTTTCCCACCGTTGTGATAAAAAAGTTTCAACTGAATGGGTGCTTCCATGACGTCAACATTTGAAAAATCCTCTGCTCTTACTCACCACCAGAATTGCTACCAGGAAAAGGTCGTGAAGAATGATTTTTCCTCCCTTCTCAGAAAACTGTTGTCAGTTCTTCATTAGCATAGAATATGCTCTATCATCCTAGCTCTGCACAAGCTGACCCCAACCATCCAGACTCAACTCCTACCTCTTTCTTCATGAGATGTTTTCTCCGCTAAGCATAGCTACTGGCTTTCCCCGTGCACTCTCCAGCCTGCCCTCTTCTCTGCATTTACTCTCACTGAGCATCCTAGGATGATCTTTCTCTCTACTTCTAAAGTATCTATTCTTCAAGGTCCAGAGAACCTGACGATAAGGACTCTACAGAAGCCTTAGCTTATTCAACTTATGCTCAACTTGAGACAGCTGCATCTTGAACAGCACTGATAGCCAGTAGAGCTACGGCTGCGGTATTTGGAGGAAAGGATTAGCTCAGATGGTCAAGAGACTTAGAGGAAGACCTTTCAGGATTGAAAGGGCATTGATGTGGTTTGATTCTGAATAAGACATACTAGTTCCTCAGGAAGCCGAGGTTACCTCCTAGACCTACCTCCCAGACATGGATCCAAGAAGCAGGAAAAGAAATAGGAAAAGGTTGAAGCCAGCTGGACTTAGTCTAAGTGTGCTGACAGACAGACTGTATTAGAGCCCATGGCTTTGAGCTTGTTCAAGACACCCTATTGACCAAGTAGTGTTATTACATAATTAAATCAACACTGGTATCAGCTAAAGTCAATAAAAACACCAACATAACCAACTCGGATTCCACTTATCAGATATAGAAACTGACATGCCCTTATGCTTTGCTTATAATAATGCTATACCTTCGAGACTGAATTTAATGAATCAAATAACCCAATAATGCCCTTACTGGGTAAGAAGGCAACAGTTTATGCAAAGGAGTTTTTGAGTCATCTGGAGAACTGGATCCAAAAATGCTTAGTAATTATGGAATCTTGGGTGAGGTATTTATCATGTCTGAGCCATGGTTTCCTGTGTCACAGGGTTTGGTAAAGCTGAAACAAGATAACTGCATGTGTAAAACAGTGGCATCACGCCTGGCATGTGGTATTTAGGAAAATATTACTTCTTTCCCTAATTCAGTGACACCTTTTTGCAAGAAAATTTAAATGCAGGTCCAAAATGTTAATCCATATGGAATTATAGACCATATATTTTATATCTATATATTTTAGAGGCTTGACTGTTATTGATCAATATTAATCTCATGCTTAATGTCATTATTAAATCTATAACCAAATGGATAATTATTCCTCTTTTTGCCTGTAAGAACTTGCCATTATTATTGTTATGGTAATTATTAATTATACTCCAAAATACTACAGTAGAAACACTAAATCCTGCTGTCATAGAACAAGATAACTAGCAGTGTACCTAAATTACATGTAATCACTTTTTAGCGGGGTTTGGTATGTCTTAAGTAATAGTCACCTCAAGATGAATTATGATTCATTATAATCAGGATACAGTCAGTACTCAACTTACTAATGCATTGGGTTCTATGAGTTTGCTCACCATAAGCTGGAGACTGTACTAAGCATTTTATCTATTTTAAATCATTGAATCCACACAGAAGTCATTAAATAGACTCTGTTGTTGGCTCCAGTAACAACTACAGAGAGCTTAGGAAACTTGCCTAAGGTCAGAAAGACTACCCCTATCTAATATCGCTTCATGGGGATTTCATAGAAAATGTGTGTCTGTTGGGCAAGGGTTGGGGGGGGAAGAGAAGAGATTAGCTAGAAAAAGCCTTAATGTAATAATTTTATTTATTCACAAATTACTGACCACACAGAGCAAGGTCGATCCTACATGCCATTTCTCAAACCCAACACTACTGTGCACAAGGGCTTTTGCCCGATGATGTTTTTCCTGGGGATTCACCAATTCTGTGCATCATAAACTCCTAATTTAATTGTTAATAGTGGTAATGAGTCTTCTCTTATTTATTTAAAAAAAATTTTTGGCGAGGAAGGTAATTAGGTTTACTTATTTGTTTTATTTTTAGAGGAGGTACTGGGGATTGAACCTAGGACCTTGTATATGCTAAGCCTGCACTCTACCACTTGAGCTATAACATCCCCCATAAGTCTTCTCTTTCCTTCTTGCCACCCTAAAATCCCTGAGCTCATGATCTTCCCTCCAGGTCTGAACCTCCTTTCACACCCCACATTCATGTGAAAAGCATCATTCACTCACCCAAACTCCAAACTTGAATTTTCTTTAATTTTTCCCACTTGCTCCCCCTACAAAGAGTTACTCCCTGAGTCCCATTGATACAAACCCCCAAATATCACGAGAGTCTGTCTCTTTTCGCTGTGTACCTCTGGTCTCTGCCTTCATTTAGGTCTTCAGCCCAGCTCTTCTGTGTTGCTGCAATAGATCTCAATTTG